TTACTCTCAAAAATTATACCAAGGCAGGTTAAGTGCTTGCTGCAATCAAATGCAGAGGTTAATATTACTCTGGACAGGGAAGGATTAAGTGGAAACTGATGGTTCCTTGATTTGTCATTTTTAACTGCTTGACTCTCTGTGACATTAAAGAACCAGATATATTGACGCTATATTTTTTATGTAGTGACTCTATTGCTGCCTAAGTTCAGCAAAATTATGTGCAGGCATCTAATCACATATTTATCAATTAAAAATACTTGTTTTGGTCAACCACCTTCATTTTATTATTTTTTAAGGCAAAACCCCTGATGCAGACTATTGTATTGGTCTCAGAACCAAAGTTTAAATTGGAGGGGAAAGATGATCTTCAAGGTCCTTTCCAACCCAAGCCATTCTATAATTCTATGTTTCTACGAAAGATCACATGAAAGTGGTTCAGTGGTTACAGAACACTAAAGATTCTCATTTTTTGTTCTCAGCTTCTCCAAGGGTTTGCTGCAGAAACCTGCATGTCTTAAGTATTTTTCTGTACAGAATTTAACATGGACTAGGGAAATGTGGATAAGAGTTGACTCCTTATGTGGGCAGTCACAGAGCAGAGCCCTGCTGGAGTCAGTCCATCCTGCTGCTCTATTCACCTACACACATACCTTTAGATCCTGGTATTTTTTCCTGCCCAGAGAAAGTTAATCTGCTTTCTAAGATTTCCCCAAAAAGTAATGAAAGAACTTTTTAGTCTTCTAAATGCAGAAAGGGAACTGGAGGATTAGTTTGCCACCTTAATACACACATGACAAGGCTCACAAACCCCAGCAAAAGCTGAACCTGAGCCACCAGGATGGGCCAATTTAGGCTGAGAGCAACACTTAGACTGTGGGTATATGTGGGTACAGAGTGGAGTCACGGCAACATTTAAATAACTGCTCAGTTCTGTAGTGGAGATGTATCATCCCCTCTAACAGTTACAGGGGGAACTTACAGCTGGATAAAGTTGGCCAATATTTAGAAGTCAAATTTCTAAATATGAAGGAGGAGGTCTTCTCAAAAAGGATGGAGCTTCAGACATAAGACAGGCTTCAGTCTTAAATCACTGAAACTGTAGTCTCTGAAAGACCAGTAAACAGGATAATAAAATCAGGTAGGCACTAAAACATGCAACATTGTGGAAATCTGTGGCCACCTTCTGCCCATCATAAGAAAAGAAAATTGTACAGATTTGCAAATTCCAGTGAAAAAATCTTTCGAGGGGCTTCTGCCCAGCACTTACATTAGTATATGCTTGCCATCCCCATGAGAGTTAGAAAAGCTAGTGAAACTCATGAAGATGTTTAAAAGCTTTATTTCATTTGACAGTAAGTACAATTAAACTATTACATCCTTATTGATCTCCTGTGATGTTTTTAACCTTTGCTATGCAATAGTGCAGCTGAGTTTCGGAACGTGAGAGACACCGAAACAAATTAAATTTTAAACTAAATACGTGGGTGATGACCTTGTACTTGTAGGTCAGCATAGTAATGTGCTCTGTGTCCTAATTAACTATCCTGTCAATTCAGAAAGTAAAATTTAGGAACACGAAAAGTCTGTAAGACTTTGATAGGATACTCTGCTTGGATTACAAATGGATCAAATGTTACCAGCAGCATCAAAATACCACCTTCTCTGACAATTTACAGATGCTTATTCAAGTGCTGTGGGCTGAAAAAGATTTTCCCGTCCTCTCATGTGACACTTGCCACAGAAATCCCCATGATATTTGCTACAAAGAAAGGAATCTCCTTCATTACCATGCTATTCAGCATTATAAATCCAGTAGTGTTCAGAAGAATTAGAAAGATTAAGATATACAATCACCATTTAAGATGGCAAAGCATTGGTAAATATTCTAGTGTTTAATACAACAGAGAAAGAAGCATCTTAAAACAAAATCTGGTAACATTTTGGCCTACTCTCCTTTTCCAGGAATTTCTTAAAGGCTCTGACAGACAAGCTATGATGCCTTAACACGAGGCATGAATTACTATCCTGAGCTGTTCACCTCACACATGATGTGCAGTTAAGAACAGCACATCAATCAAGTCCTAAGGAATTGAGAACACATAACACAATTTCATAATAATCTCGAATGGTTTCCCTAAAAATCACCTCAGTAATTTAGTGGTGAACAACTGAGATGTCCATGCAGCAGATATTTGGGGAGCATCTAGAGAAGGTAACTTGCCTTTCCCTTACTAAGTGTTTCTACCCCTCAGTTTGTGCTCCAGGCCAAAATCATGCTCATACTTCTGAAAAATGATGATTTAACTTTTATGCTGAGGTCACACTGGAAAACTGAGATCTGCAATCAGATGTAGATAAACTTCCTGAGATTTTAGTAAGAAAACCAGGGTGGTAACAGGAGGAAGACAAAAAGGCATTAAAGGCAATTCCAGTTCCTTTCTACCTCCTACATTTTGGGGCTATTTCTCAATTTCTGCACTCCCCTTGATCTTGAATTGCCATTTCACACAACTTATCTTACATGCTGATGGAAAGAAAACCAAAAAGTTTAATTCTGGGGCCCTCTCTTCCTTGTTCACTTAATGAGAATACAGGATCACCACAATATCAGATTTATATCCTGTCTTGGATTCTCAAAATGTTTGTTCTTTCTGATAAGATCAATTCCACTGCAGAGGAACTCTTTGAAGAAAAGCTCCTGTCTAGCCATTTTTAAAACTTTTTATTTTCCTTTCGCCTGAGTCTGGTTTAATATTTACACTGCAACAACCCATCATAACATCTGTAGCCTATTTTCCAGGATAGAAAAAACTAAGTATGTTGAGTAACTTCTATTACTAAATCTTAATGAATTGTTTTTGTTAAGATTGTCCCTCTGAACCTGTTCTTCTGAACAGGTCCACTGTTCTTCTGCACCTCTGAAACACTAAAGTGACAGAAGAAGCAACACTGTACTAACCAGCTGAAGATGGAGCCAGATGACAGAAGCTCAGCAGCTGCAGCTATTAAGTGACAGTATCCTTCCAAACTGGACTAAGACCACAGACAAAATACTAATGCTGTCACCCCCATTTTAAGAATGGAAAATTAAAGGTTTTAGCCATGCTCATATACCAAACTGGCAGAAGAGATAAATTTAGATTTTCATAAAGCAGGTCTAACCCAGGACTTCAATCAAAGTTTTGTCCCTTCAAGGAAATTCAACTTGACAGTTTAATTAGTATTGAATCTGTGTATTTTTTCCATGTACTAAAAAAATCTCCTCAGACTTAACTCTTCCAGCCTTCAAAGTGGCTTTAAACAGGGGATAAGTATCCCTGGAAAATTAACACTTTAAAACCAGATCTAAAAAGAAATGCAAAGCAGTGATGGCACTCTAGCTTGTAGGTCATTATATTTTACAATTGTTTCCATTTGACTTAATAATAAAAACTCTGTGGAGTGCAATAAAAACTGGAAATATCCCACCTGAGCTTTTAATTAGGAAACATGTGAAATGTAAACCCAAATCTTAGCACATGCTTCAGCTTTGATTTCACTGTACTGTTACTGCCAGTTTCAGTGTTGTCTGGAAGAACTAGTTGGAATTAGAACAGCATTGTGGCACAGGTGTCACAGGCATAAAGCAGAAACATGTTGCCATTTTCTCACTGTGTTGGCATCAAAGTGAAACAGTCATGGGAAGAAAAAAAAAAGAATAAGTAAGAAAGGAAATGCTCATTGGGACTGCCCAATGTCATACACACAAAGAGTTTCTGAGTGGTGCCTTAAAATCACACTTAAAGTAAGCATTTTTAAAAAAAAATAAATTACCGAAGGTTTGATTAAAAAACTGTTCTTTGTTTTGAACACTTTCATTGAAATTTGCTTTCTATGAAAAATGCCAACTTTTCTTCAAAAATCAAATCCAATAACTATTTCTGAGTTTTGCTTTTGCACTTAAAAATTCATATACACTCCAAAACCTGTTTTTCTACGTGGTTCCTGTTGAAAAATCCCAGTTCCTGGCTTGGTCTTACATAAACAAATAAGATAATTATCAGATGCCCTCTACCGGCCCTCTGTTTAAGTTAGAGTTTCAGAAGTTATGAATTTCCCAAATTCCTTCTGGCCCTTGCTTTTGTTACAGTAAAGTTGCTGTTTCCTGCCTCTGTCAGACAAGTCCCACCACTTCAAAGATTAAAAGTGTGGTCAGTTTGATGACGTAGCTGTCAGCATGCAATCAGAGTGTGACATGAACAGAAGGAAGCTGAAAGGACTGGGAGGGAAAACTAACAGCTCCAGAAAAAAGAACTGGGGTAAGAGAAGAGAAAGGAAGATACCTAGAACAAGCAAGAGTACATAACAGGATTGACACATTAAAGAAATATGGATGCCAGGAAGCACAGTTCAATGTCCCAAATATGAGGGAATGGGTAAACCTGGGACACACAGCCCACTACTTGCTAACCCTTTGGGTTAACAAGTTTTCTTGGACAAATCAATCTTTCCTCTGAAAATGCTCTTTATGCTTTCAGATTAACAACATTTGTGGCAGGTGGTGCAGATACAGAACTGTCACAACACTGGTAACAGATTCCTAGCCTTACTGGGAAGAACATGCTGTGGCAGGGTTAGATTTGTGTCACACATGAAGCTCCATGAACAGGCAGATTCAGGATGCAGGGCTGTGAATATGCAGTAGGAGAATATGTAGAGTTGTGGGAGGAGAACATGCTGATTAGAGACAGCCCTTGAAGCAGTTTTCCACTGATAATAAACTCAGTGCCTGGCACGCTCAACGAGGTCATACTTAGCACATACTCAGGTTTTGGAACACTCTCCTCTACACAGAAACAGATCTGTAGAGCTCCTGCCCCCTCAGGAGGGTAAACACCATGTATTCTCCTTGAGTAAAGGCCCTGTGTTGCAGAGGCAACTTCACTGTCTTTACGGTCTACTAGTCAGCTTCAGGAAAGGGCAAAACCAAAAGGAGAAGCCTTCCATCATCTGTTTCTTACCTTCCCCTCGAATCTTGCAGTGGCTCCCAGCTGCACTCGGATATTCCGAGGAGGAAGAGTAAATGCTGGTGCTTCAGCAGGAACAGGGGGGCTGAGTGTCAGGGAGGTTTTGGAGACTCGAGTAGATGTCACCAGTTTCACGTCCCCCATGATGTGGACTGTAAAAGAGAAACAAGTGGTAGTACAGAAGCTGTGATGTTTAACTACAGAAACAGCCAAGAATCAGACAAGGGGCAGGCAGATGTTCCATATCTGTGCCGTATTTGTATACACAGCAGGAGTCGTCAGCCTAAGGTGACAGGTGCTATTTTTTGGGAGGGGAACTGAGACCCAGGAAGATTGCCTGGTGTGGCTACAGTTGTGGTCAGGGTCACAGTCTTGAGGCGAACTCAGCTTGAACTCTCATTCCAGGCCAGAGTCTTAACCAAAAAGTCATCCTTTACAACTGCATTAAAAGGTAATAACTTATTTCAGGAGGATATTTTCACAACGTGACTTTGATTTTCCTGGCCTGGAATACACCAAAATCAATAAGTCTCAAAAGTAGAGCCAGTGTTAAACAAGTGCTTATGAAATAAAGAGACCTCTGTTTGCACTGGATTTAAGTTGCAGGCGGGAATGTGGAAAATCTGATTTTTCATACCGAGCTTTCAAGATCTTAAGAAATATCTGGATATCTCCCTACAAAGTACTGCTAGTACAGAACAAATGCTTCTGCAGAAATTCCAAGTCTCTACTGCAAATCCTTCTTACAGCACACAGACTAGTAAAATAGCGTGGAGACCGAATTTCATAATGCTACAAGAATGGCCTTTTAGAGACCTATTTACAGATATCTGCCTCAGAGGTAATTCTTCTGCTGCACAGTTCATCCTTCCCAACAAAAAGCAAAAATTATTCTATTTTTTAAAGGTAAAATTTAATGTTTTCCAGGAAAAAAAGTAGTAGTTGACCCTGGTTCTAATTCCTTGAATCATCTATGTAAATTAGAAGCCCCACTGTAAAATTTCTATTTAATGGACGAGTTTAACAAAAAAAAACTCCCGGGAAATGTCTTGACCCACTAATAGGTCATGTTAAACCAATGAAAAACACTGGGCTTCCAGTCATAATCCTCTGCCATACACACCAAACCATGACAGAATATGTATTTATTCATCTGATTCTGGTGAAAGTTGCAATAAACAATACTTGAGTAAACATTGAAACTTCAATTTGAACAAGAGAAAAATCAATTAAACTGAGGCCACATTATTCCTGACTGTATGAAGGATACTTTTCCTAGGACAGGCTGCAGCTGTTTGGGGAGCAGGGGAACAGAAAACTCATTCATTTCCAAATGGGACTTACACTCCAATGTTGCACGTGAGCACCTGCAAACCCAGTCTGAGAATGTAGTTTTCCACATCACATACCTGACATGCTCCTTAAACAAACAGAAACACCTCTACACTTTGAAAACAGAGGGCAGCTTCTCTCAGGGAAGGTAGTCTAAAAGTTAGATTTTTAATCTGAGTTAGAAGTTTTGCCTCTCTCACAGCCAACAGATAGAGGAACCTCCGGAAGGTGTTTTGTTCTAAGGTGAGGGAAGCATGGCTTTCTGCTTTGCAGAAATGTAGTTCCTGCAGTTGTCAGAAACTATAGTTTAGAAGGAAAATCCTTCCAAGATATTGGTTAAATTATGTATGCACACAGATTTTCAAAAAATGCTTGAAATCTCCTTCCTCATTCATAAGAACCCAGACAATGTGGACTTCAGATTTCTTCTGGCACAATGCTCTTTTAGCATTTCTGTATATCAACATCAAATTCCCCAGAAAATCCTCTAGTGTTTCTAGCATTTGAATTGCTGAGACCAACACAGAAATGAAGATGATTTCCTTAACCCTGATGCGAAGCTTTAAACTGACAAATTCTGCCTTCATCTACATGAGAGTTAAGCTTGCAGTGAATGTCTGTATTAGCACTCAGTCACTTGAGAGCACAGCATAAGTCTCCCTTTCCACTATAAGCAACTCACAAACAGAAAACAAAACCAAACAATTTTATTTTTTTACCTTAACTTATCAAAGAACTGTATGAAATCAAAATATCATGTAAATAAGGAAGTAACTGATTGTATTCTGGAGACAAGAGGTGAAATCAAAGGCTCGCTTCTCTTCTAACAAATGTACTTAGCACCTGAAGGGACAAAGAGTGACAGTCTCTCACAGCTATAGTCACTGTAATAAACAACAATTCGCCTGAAAAAGAGAGAGAATGATTCATTCAATTAATTGTTCTTTCATTACGGACAAGACTCCAAATTCAGTTCTCCATTCAGCTAAAACCACAGTTTACCCCAGTGGACTTTCAATTAATTACACAGCTGTAAACTGCTGCATAAGGAGTCCATATTTGCCAGCACATTTCTGAAATTTATTTTTCTTTATATATTAAGACCAAACATTTCCCAAATTGCCATAAATATCTATTGTGGTCTTTTGCCATCTTAGTATAGATGTTGATAATTTTCTGTCTTCTTACCTCTTCTGAATTGGCCTAAATCTCATTTTAAAGTTTATTTCTCATTTTCTTTTTTTTATATCCTTTTCCACAGATGATCACTTTTCAACATGCTCAGCTAAACACTCAGTCTTGACTTTTTCTTCCCACTTGTCCTTCTCCTCTGCTAAGATACACCTTTCCACAGCCTACAGATGCCAATATGTGCAATGTCTTTCCAGCTGTGACACTCTTAAACAACAAATCAATCTGCCAGTACAAAACTGCAATAAAATTTTCTGATCACCAGCAGTGACAATAGCATGTAGGGTATAATGTGGATGCTGTGAAAATCTTCTCCTGTCAGCAGACACTGCAATGCAACACAAACTATATTGCAGTGAAGTTGTAAGCCATAAGAGGCCAGTAACAAAACATATCCTTCCCCACACATCTGTATCAACTTTGCAGAGTGTTTACAAGACTGAAACAACATCAGAAAAAGCATGTACCACCTAAATGTTGTTTTAAAAATAGCATTGTAAGGGTAGTAAATTTGAAAACAAAACGCAACAGTCAACATTCAGAACCCAAGTCAAACTTGATATTCACTCATATAAATGGAACTCCGTTTTGGTCAGTGCCATTGTAATGTCTGAAACAAGCAAGAGAGAAAACTCCATGCACTGCAGATGCTCAGAGGACTTCTGTAGGGACCAAATGCTCAAGTATCTGTCCTTAGATGCAGTGCACTGCTTACACAGGGTGACTGTGACACCTCCTTACCCACAGAAACCTGGCTATGGTCCAAGGCCAAATTCACCAAATACCTGGAACAACCACCAGCACACACCTGGAAAATACACTGTATCCAACATATGCTCATCCTCCGGGCATCGCTGGCCTCCAATGTCTGGACTGCATTGGACAAACAGTCCTGTGGCTAAAGCCCAACTTCAAGCCCTACACAAAATGAAATTAAAAAAAAAAAAAAGAAGAAGGAGGGTAGGAGGAAGTAGAAAGAAAGAAAGAAAAAAAAATCCTGAACAATTAAGCCAGCGTTACTGGTCAGGTTGCATTTCTATTACATATTGGTAAAATGCCAAAAACTATCAACAAATTGATATGTAATAGAGTGAGATTGTAAAGTATAAAATGAAGAAATAGCTAGTCTTTTCCATAAGCACATCTTGCACAGATTTACGTTTTTTCTAAATAAAGTGTCTAAACAGGATTGAATTTACAAATTCAATAATAGCTCAAGTCTGCACAAGCAGTTTTCTCGCAACATAAGCTTCTAATTATCCACATTTAGCAGTCTGACTTTAATTAGCTATGTACGCTGAGGATGCTTCTAGTAAATAATTAGGAAGTATCCTTTTTCAGCTTAGAGGATGTTTAACAATTCTGTTCCCAAATAAATAACTTAGTTCCATGTTGTGCAGTCTGGTGTTACTATGGAACTACCATGTGAAAGTATTTTAAAGAAATAAAGTTCCAGCAAGCAAATCTTGTTCAAGTTTGCAAGTTGGTAGACAGGAAGAAAGCAGATACTTAAAAGCCATAGAATGTACCTGATTTTTTTCCTTTTATTTAAGCAAATCTATAGAATGAGGATATCCCTAAAATCTTTTTCTTAGGTATTTCAAGCCTGCTACTGAATAAGGTTTCAAGGATGATACATTAACTCCTAACATTTCATTTCACGTGCTGTGTGCACCTAGACTCTGGTCTTTAAACAAAACCAACTGTAACTGAAGCTGCAATACAAACACTGTGGTATAAAACATAAGAGAAACCCACCATGCAAATGTTGGCTTGTAGGGTAGGGATGTGGTTAGACAGCATTTCTAATCTGGATTTTTTTTTTTTATTCTTAATCCTTTCTAAAAAGCACATAAATCCTTACAAATTCTCACAGTGTGCCCTCTAATCTTTCTAATACCAAAGCAGACTAATGTGTTTCAAGCATTTTCTACTGGGAACAAATCTCTGTCACTCAATACTCTGCTCACAAAAATAAACCCAAAAAAGCAAACACTAAAAAATCCACCTCATAGGTTTTTTCTCCTGCACTTATTTTATATAAGTAAATACTTACCATCAGCGTCCTACATAACCATTTAATTATACCAATTTCCTTTTACCAAGTCCTTCCTCCGAGGCAGAAGAAAAATGAGTTGCACAGAGTGCATGTGTGTGTATGAGAGAGCAAGCTCAGACAAGTGAGAGGAAACCAGAGCTGCCAGTGGAAAAACCTTTGACTTACTGATATTGCAGCTCTACACTAAGCAACACATTTTCACTTGGTCCAGTTATTCTGTTATTTTAGTCAGACTGGATTCAATAGCCCCTGAGCCATCTCTGAAATCTGGATACAGATTTTGAGGGCTTTAAAAATAGGAGCGAAAGGACAGACAGCCTGGGGTTGGAGCATTTGTCTGCTGTTTGGGAGTCCTAGTTGAATTCCCTGCTCCATAATGGGCTGCCTGCATGACCTCAGGCGAGTCACTAAGCCTCTCTTTTGCCGTGGCTCCCCATTTGTAAAGTGGGGATTATTGTGCTTCCTTACCACAAAGAACTGCTTTGAGGATAACTATATTAGAGGGTGGGAGTCAGGCTACAGTAAAGGACCACATAAATAGCCTGACTAGCACAAAATCACCATAAACTT